TTTTTCACTCAGTGGGTAAAAAATCCAGAAACTTTACTCAAGTAAGAGTAGAAATAAAATACTCTTAAAAGTATATTTTTCCCATAAAATTGCTGAAGCAAATGTAACTCGTTACTAACCAGCTCTGCATATTTGCGGTGTTTGCTGTTAGCTTTAGCATAGCATTAGCAGCCAATCAGAGAGCTGCTTTTGAGGCCCTTAAAGTGCATAACTTCAGCAGTTGGCCTGGTGTTGATGGGATAAGCCGAGGTGACTTCAGAGCCTGAAGCGGTTCGGTTCGCCTCGCCGCTCACGCATCAATAGCGGCCGGTCCAGAGGGAGAGGCGCTGAGGAGTGGACAGAGACGCTGACTGCTCAGGAGGCTGGCCAGGTCTGGAGCGATCGATAACGGCTGAGCGCTGACAGAGGAAAACGGTTCCGTGGGCCGGACTTTATCATCCAAAGCGGAGACCAAACCTCAGGAAGCTGCTCACCAAGAACAAACGTTTCTGTTCACACAGTGAAATTCAGGAGGTTTTAGGTACATTTTCAAACGTTTCCAGCAGTTTGGAGAAAAAACACAAATGAACTAAAGAATGCAGTTTCAGTTCACTATTATCATTTACTGATGTCTTGTGATATTATTATACTTTATGCAGCAGGGAAAAGCTAAAATATAACATTTTATTCTTTTTGTCTTTTGCATTTCCTTGCAAAACTTTAGCATTTTTCATCCGGTGTTCTGTCAGATCAGCATACGTTGTCAGATAGTCATACCTTAGCTCAGACATGCATACGCTGTCACTACCATATGATTTTATTTAATCAGCAACATAGAATCATGACGTAGATCATCATACACTTGGTTATTAACAGCTGTATGGCATCCTGACTTGGCGGTTAATGAGTTTTACACGGTGTGTTGTAGTTGGCTGCAGCTGCAGCCAGATCTGCTTTAAATACACTTTGAAACCACGACAACGCATGTATATCTATATAGTTATCATATTATATCATATTATAAACAACTTAATGACTTATTTTCTTGTTGCGTCTGCTGAACTGACGACTCCACTGACGGTCGGACTTCTTAAGGCTCAGGCGTCTTGCTACTCGCTGCATGTGTGCTAACCTCACAGCGGACGGGTTTCTCACAGAACATCTTGACTACTGCACGTCTTTCTGCCACAAGGTAAAGTTTTTCCATTTGTGTTAAAATCTCATAGTGAGATAACAGAAGTTTTAAATCTTTTTCTTTAGGGTACAAAATGCAGCACAAACTTAGAATTGCAGAAGTAAAACAGGTCAAACATGTTTTCCATGTCTTTCATTCCCTCTAAGTCATAAACAGAAACACTGAGAACAAAAGTTAAAAAAATCTTCTCACTAAGTTTTCTGGCATTTAGCAAATAGAAATAATTCAGGTAATTATGACTGACCAAACAAGAGAAGTTTGGTCTGATTGAACTTTGTTACCTTTAAATATCAGGTAAAATCAAACGTTAGGTTGCAGTTTATCATCAGTCTGTGCAGTTTGAATATGAGGAACTTTCAAGGACTTTATACAGAAATCAAAGACTTTCCAAACCTGGAACTTGAAACATGTTCAAGGATTTCCAGTACCTGAATAAACCGTCTCTGTTTTCAGGAGGTTTTATTTATTTTTCCTTCCTGGCGTTTCTTCCCAGCAGAGAGGAGATGAAAACAGAAATCCATTATTTTTCAGTTTGCTGCAGAATTTTAAGTCATCTGGTTGAATTGCTGCCGCCTAATTGCCAGATGGTCGCCCCACTGCGAGCCAAATTGAATCAGCCGAGTTAAACCGAACCGGTTCTGATCGGGCCAAATGGGCTGCATGAAAACAGAGACGTGAGGAAGAAATATTAAACAGAAACCAGAATGTTTAGTCTGCAGCCTGATGAGAGAAAACGGGTTGGTTCGCGGCTCGGAAGGTTTCCAGGAGATAAAAAGCATCTTAGATTTCCTTAATGAGCTAAAGAAGCTGAGCTGAATTAAAAAGCTGCACATCAAACCAGGTTTTCCTTCTTTACCTGAGAACTGGGTGTCGGGGAGCAGGGGCGCCAGACTCAACCTGCAGAAATCATCTACAGAAATATTCTGAGTCGGTTCTGGTTCCTGTGATTTCATTGTTTCACCTTGTGAGCGCAGCTGTAGCAGACTGACGTGCATCAGTGTCTTTGCTAACACTGATGCTAGCAAAGAGCTAACATCAGTGTTAGCTCTTTGCTAGCATTAGCCTGCTGAGGGACAAATGCCTCAGCATTTGTATCTACCTGGTGATTAAAATAAAAGGCCTGACAGAAAAACTGATTCATGGTTAAAAACTTTGGGACGACCATCATTTCAGTGATCGATTAATCGATTGTTCTGATGATTAATTGGATAAGAAATGGCCACATTTTGTATATTTTTCATTTAACTACTAAGGCCTTTTTATGCACTGTTAGAACAGATTTACAGACATTTTGGTCTGAAATGCAAAATGTTTAGATTTTTTATACGGTTTCAGCTTAATTACTCCTTTCAATATGTTTTTTTTTTTAGCAAATACTCCAATTAACGATTAATCTATCACTATATTAGTTAACAATTATTTCACAATTAGTTTAATGTTTTCCAAAGTTTTGCAGACTCTTAATGCTTCCAGCCTCTGACTGGTAGAAGAACCTGAGGGACCAAACCTCATATTTTCACTTCACTAAACACCATTTACTCAACAACTCTTCCTTCACCTCCATCTTCAACAATCACACCAAGAGTCTGAGGTTTTCCAACCACCAAACCCATAAAATGCCACGTTCGCCGTGTTACTTCAAGGTTTATGTCAAAGTGTCAGAGACGGCTTGTTCAAACTGAAACAGCAGCGCGTTTCGTCTCGCCATCTTCTGGTTTCCAACAAAAGCAAAGAAAGTTCCCACCGCCTCTTTAACTGGAAGCTTTTCTTCCCACCACAGACTCAACATGGTGGAGCCAGGCCAACAGGAGGTTAACCTTTCAGAATAAAACGCAGCTGCGGCGTTTCCTCCAGTGGGAACGGCTCCGTTTTTCCCAGACGGACACGTTGCCACTCACCCTCTCCAGGTCCTGGCGCAGGTGAGTGAAGAGTTTGAGTCTCCTGTAGAGGACGTCCTGCTCCTGCTGGGCCAGGTTGTCCACCTCGTCTCTCTTTAGCGCCACCAGCGGCTGGTTGAAGTTGGCCTTTCGCTTTAGCTTCCAGAACTGATATAAGAAATCCACCTGCAAAGTAAACACAGGAAGCAGGCTTTATTTCTTTTGGATGCAAATCACTAAATCATGGCAGCGAACGAGTCGCTGACTATAACAATTATTAGGTTTCCAACAAAAGACAGAAACTTTGAGATTAAGCTCAGAAATTATGTAGAAAATAAATGGAAATTTCTCAGTTTCTAAAATCATAAGTTTTTTTGTTACGTTTCAACTTATGGAGCCCAGAAATGTCCTTGTTTTCTCCAGTAATATTTCAGAGTGTTTTTGTGAATGTGCAGCCGGCGTACCTGCAGCAGCGGCAGCCCCAGGTTCTCGGCGACGTCGCTCGGCTCCACCAGTCTGTAAAACTCGTCCTCCAGCTCCTGGAGCTTCTGCTTCCTCTGGCTCACCTTCTCCCTCTCCAGCTGGTCCCGCTCGGCCCGCTCCAACGCCGACACCGGCTGGGACGCCCGGCTCTGCTCCGGGTCGCCGGAGCCGTTGGGCTCGTGGTGCTGCTCGGGTCTGGCCGCTCCGTTGGTGCCGTTGGCGGCGGAGCTGTGATCCAGGCAGAAGGACTTGAAGCGAACCTCGTCGTTTTCGGCCAGGATGGTCTTCATCTCCAGGCCGTGGTCGAAGGCGCAGGTCACATGGAAGGCCACGATGCAGGAGGGCGTGGAGCACTGCAGGGCGACAAAAACATTTCCACTTCAAACCACCGCTAAGTTTGGGTTTGAAGGCTTAATTGTTGATTTTTTTCCACCAATTCGCTCCTTGTTTCTAGAGACCTGCTGCATTTTATTGTTTCACAGGAAGTTTCACTGGAGGGTAAAAACAGATTCTTCTCCTTGCCATCCGCGGCGGCGCTGCTGCAGCAGAACCGTTGATGAAGCTGTTAGTTTAGTGCAGAGCGCCGCAGCAACGGGAAGATAACGCAGAAAAACTGTTAACTCTGTGAACAACTCCAAACTACTTTTTTATGGCTGTCTTAGTCAGCTACTCTACAGGCAATGTCGTTGCCATAGCAACTGACAACACCACCACCACTAATGTTTCAGGATTCAACACCAACAAACACTCATGTTTATTTTGCAGTTATTAATAAGCGATCACCATGGTAGATTAGCTAGCACTGCTGTTAGCTAGGCTAACACAGCAGTGGTAGATTAGCTAGCGCTGCTGTTAGCTAGGCTAACACAGCGGTGGTAGATTAGCTAGCGCTGCTGTTAGCTAGCTAATCTACCGTGGTGGTAGATTAGCTAGCGCTGCTGTTAGCTAAGTAGATTAGCTAATTTAATCACCTGATCTACTGATGATCTGTCACAGTTGGTGTTTAGGTCACCTTTTTATTTCTTAATTGAACCGAAACAACGAATCCTGCAGCACATCTACATGTGAAGATGGTCATAATTTCCTTGATATTTAATTAAACTTTTTCTTGGCCTTGTTATCTAGTTCTGCTGATGTCATAGCAACATTCTCGTGATTAAACAAACATTCTTATATCATGGCTGTGATTCTCCATTGTACAACTTAGAAGAGATGATTGACATAAAAGTCATTTCTAATTTCGTTTTTAGAAAAGAAAAAGAAAACAACTAAAAATCTGGTATGAAAATAAAAAATGTAACATTGTTTTTAAGCCCAGTTTTACTCCAACGTGTTTTGCTGCCCATTTACTCCATCACTGATGTTCCAACAGAAGTGCAGCAAAGCAGAAAAAGAAACCAGGTCACAACAAACACGGATCCCTCGCCAACCTCCGCTGGCATTTTGGTAAGTTGTGATAGTTTGAGTGTTTCTCAGTGCGATTCATTGCAGGTCATCCAGAGCGGCGGCCTCCCACCGCGTCTCCTCAGGCGCGGTGCGATCCCGCCAGTGTGAGCGCTGTCGGCGCCGTGTTCCTGAGCGTCTGTGAATGTGTGAGCAGGTTTGCTGCTTGTACTTGTCAGAGCAGTTCAACATTCAGCAGGGCTGTGCGCTGCGTTTGTGTACGAGCGCCAGCGACCAAAACCTGCCTGGTCCTAAACGCTCCGCCATCTGGGAAACAACTCCAGACATACAACCTCCGTCTCCTCTTCCCTCTGATTCAAACCTTCACAGGAGTTTAATTTACCAAGCTGTAATCCTTATTCTACCTGTAAACTGTTCAGGTAGGGATGAGCGCCTATCGTATCGCTGATCATTTATCGTCACAAGAAATTTATCACCATTATTCCTTAAAAACCCCTAAAACTGTTGGGATTGTTGTTTTCAGCACTTTCTCCCGTTTGTTCTCATGTAATGTCACACTTCACACTCACTGGCAGCCATCTTGGTAGGCAGTTGCTATGGCAACAATAAACAAGCATAAGCTTAGAACTAGCTCTCGCCTCGTTCCTATAAACAAAAGTACAACTACTTGAGTACTTGACCTGCCTCTGTGCAGTACTGAGATGAATATCAGTGATATTTACTGTAGTACTTACTGGTGAACTAGCAGCATTAGCTTTGCTAATGAAGCTATTATCTGCTAGCTAAGCTGGACATGTAGCCACGTGTTGCTACATGTTTTCACTCTGCAGTCACCAGAACAAGAAGAGTTCACGTCCTTTATAAATCCGTTTAAACATTGAATGCATGTCATTTTAATAAATTAGAGTAAATTTAACATAAATTATTTTTGCTTTAATAATTACAAAACATCCAAACATGTTGATTTTTACTCCTTTTCTCTCCCTCTGGACTCCAGGTCTGATCTTATGAACATCTTTCCAGGAAGTCATCATTTCACTGAACCATGTTCCTGATGATGCAGCCGTTCTTTGTAAACACAGCAGATGCATCGTTTTGTTACAAAGCGATGAAAGGTGCACTGTAAAACTGCACTTATTTCCAATAAAGCATCAGAAGGAGCCTGCTGCGGCTGCTCACACTTATTTACTGTCAAAAGGTTGAACTCAGCAAGGAGCCGGCTGCTCGGTGTGAGCCACAACACTGTAAAAAATGCTTTGGCTTTAACCTGCAGCCAGTTTTAAAATGTTTATCTGGTTTTTTGGCTGCATATTAAACAGACTTCTGTCTGTATTCTTCAATCTGCAGGTTCATTTCTGTCTTTTGCCACAGAAATCGCAAAGGTTTTCGGAGGCTGCACTGCCATCAGCATCACGTTTAAACTCTCCCAGTCTTTGCAAGTCAGTTATTAAGGAATGAGTGCTGAATGTGAGGAAATTTAGAGGATTTTGTCAATCATAAATGGTACATATCTCAAATGTTTGAGCCTTTTCTGATGCCCTGGTTTAGTTTGCATCAGGTACGTTACGTAGAGCTCATGTTTTCTCCTTATTCAACCATTTCTTTCTGAGAAGTTTCATCTCTAAATATTTCTGTAAATCAACTGGAATAAAGGTCATGCAGTCAGTTTCACTTTTAGCTTCAAGGTGAATCAGTCTTCATCGGCGCAGATGGAGGGTTTGCATAGTGTTGGGTGAGATTAATTAATATTTGCAGTAGCGTTTGACCAGCTGTGTAAAATCTGCAGTTTTGACAGTTTTTTCTAATTTTATGAAAGGAAAAATCAGTGTGCAGCTTAAGATTTTTACCCTCCAGGGGTTTGCATGTTACAGCTATTTAAGTCGTTAAGTACCACTTTATATAAAACAGAATATAATAATTCAACTTAAATGCTTTGGGTTTCAATCTTCAGCTCAAACTAAGTTTTGGTCCAAACCAGATCAAAGTTTTATTTCAGCCTCTCATCCTTCAAATCCCAGATATTTAAAGTCAAAATGTGTAAAAGTCTCCAAACTGGTTTAGTAGATAACCTCATTAATTAGGCCAGCGCTCAGATTCACGCCGCAGGTTTTCATGTTGCAGTCAAACTGATCCTCTTGAAGGATTTGATAATTACTAAAATGAAGTTATTAAATGCATATTATTCACAGTGAACACTGGCAGTCATGAGACAAACGATGCAAACGAGGAAGTTAAAACTGATGAAGAAAAGATTCATACAGAAACAAAGAGTCAGACTGAGGACCAACACTCTGAAATATTAGTTAAATTTAATGGATCAATACAAACTTTGTCACTGTGAAATTTATACTTCAATTTATAGAGTCTAAACAAAGACTGACTGAATATCTGAGAAATTAATGACAGATATTTAATCTGCCCGTCATAAAAATCAGTTAATCAACTAATCAAATGATAAATTAAAATCAGCTCACTAATTTCCAATCTGATGATATTTTTAAGTGCAGTTTTGTTTACAGATGCATCATAAAATATTTATTGTCTATGTTTTTTTTTGTTGGATATTTAAAATATCTTCCAGTCAAAGACCAATAAAATATTAAATTTTATTAATATTTTATTGGGAAATTGTGCTCATAGTGAATTAAGACAAAATTAACAACTTTTGTGATAAACTGGAACAAATAAAACCTATTTAAAAGAGAATAAAGGAGTAAAACATTATAAATCAGTCATAAAATCACGTGAACCGCCTGCAGTTCATCTGGAACGAACTTCCAGAAAACTGCACAGCAGCCGAAACACTGAGCTGCTTTAGATCTACACCAGCTAGATGTGGAGTTGCTTCTGAACCAAAATAGATAAAAAACTGACCAACATTTTGATCCATATGTGATGTTGGACTGTGTTGTTCCTACTTTGAACTGCCTGAAATGAGCAACACAAATAAACCTGACTGACTGCAAACCAAACCATTTTATACAGCTGAAGATGAAACACAACGAACAAAATGATGATGCAGAAAACATTTTGTCTTTTTAATGGCAGGTTATTCAGAAGAGGAAGAAAAATAATCAATTCTGAAACTTTTAACGAGGAAAATCCTCTCCACTTCATCGCGCTGCCATGTAGCATCAGCATCTTTACAGTGTGTGTGTGTGTGTGTGTGTGTGTGTGTGTGTGTGTTCATCCGCCTCCAGCTACAGAAACATGAGAGTGAGATTCCCTCCTTGTGGGCAGATCGGCTCAAAGGCTCACAGTTAATCTACAGCATCAATACGGTCAAAGCAAACACTCCCACGGCTGCACAAACGGCTCATCTGCTGCACATCCAGCCTGTGTGAGAGAGAGAATCCTTCCAGAACACACACACACACACACACACACACACACACACACACACACACACACACACACACACAGCGAGGGGCTCACCTGGACAACACGAGCTAACTGGGTTTGTTTCAGGGGAGCAAAATTAAAAACCATTTGAACTGAATGAATTATGTTCAATTACAGATTTGTGGAAACACAAAATGTTACCAAGTATTTTTCTTTATTTTCTAGTGTAAATGTCTTAATACATTAGAAATAAGATAAAAGTAGCTTACAGGTAACTGTTCAGCCAGAATTAAGACTTTGTTTGAAGTCAATAATTCCTCAATATTGATGTACTGATGAAAATATTTCTACTTCCACTGGTCGGTTATGAAGCACATTCCAGCACCGAGGCGCTTCAAAGTGCTTTACTTAATGTAAAGTAACAGAAAACCAGACTGTCATCAAAACTAATATTTGATCAAATGTCAGCATCCACAGTTCTTCAGCTGTTTCCACACTACAGCCTCATTTCAGGTTAAATTCATCACTTTCCTCAAAACCCGTCACACAGAAATCATGACAGCGTGAAAAAATGTTTGTAACGCTGTTAGAAAAAGGAAACGAAGATAACAATGTGACCTTCAGTTATTCTAAAAATACTATAAATATCAAATATGTTGTTTATCCCTCTAGAGGTTGTTGATGTTTCCTTACTACTCACATTTCTCATCCTCTGACATTTATTTCTATAAAAATATAGAGGAACAGGGTGGCCTCTGCCGCCCGGGTCCCCCCGGGCAGTTCTGGGGCTCCGTACCTGGATGCAGGTTCCTGTGTGTTCTCGGCACAGGCTGCAGGACAGAGCCCAGCGGCTGGCGGGGATGTGGGACACCTTGGTGATGGGCTCCATCTTCTCCGGGCAGCCGATGCTCACCTGCAGAAAAACAGGCAGCAAAAGTTCAGTCAGTAAGTCAGGAATCAAAGGTAAACACACACAGGCTGTGCAGAAGGCTCCACTAATGCTTTTCAAAGATGTACAGTTGTATAATTGTGCATCTGTTTGCAGCCATTTCCTGAGTGTAAAGGTTGAGTTGGGGGCGTGGCCAGGAGCAGATTATTGGATTTAAAGTGACAGAGACCCTAAATGGGCAGAACTGAAATTTGACTCAGTTTTGTGCCAAATATGTAATGAACGTGTTTTGAATAGGCCGATCCTAAGCTGTTCCAGAAGCCTGTGAGTTAGACCCGTCACAATAACAAATTTTAAATTGTCCCAGAAGTTACCGCGATAAACGATGATATTGGTGTTTTGAGACCATTTTCCAGTAATTTAATGGTAATAACGGCATAATAATGCAAGATTCTTAAAGATCAATAAAATTTAAGTTCTAATGAACATTTAAAATATCCAAAATAAACAAAGCAACAAATAAATGAATTCTAAAGTCTAAACTGGCAGACTGCAGACCAGCTCTGGTAAGGAAATAGAAAACTGGTGATGAGTGACTCCTCGTGTGTTGAGACAGGCCCAGTTTGAGTAAAATGTGTTGAGTTGTTGCTGCTCTTTCCTCTGTTTGAATCCTGCTTTCTGTGCCGGTCCGATCAGAGCCGCTTCGGATCCGGACCTCCACCAGAAACTCGGTCCAGCAGCACTTATCATCTCAGAGCCGTTCAGCTCCTCTTCCTCTGGTTTCTCTCCGTAAGTCGCTCCATCCTTCTGGAAGCGTTTTGCTGCCAGAGCGAATATTTTCCGTGTTCTGGGTAAAACGCTCCAGCAGAAGGATTTCCAGCTCATGCTTGATGTGATTATCTGATTAGATCATTTTGTGTGCAGACTTTAAACATCCTGATTTTTATCCAATTACCAAAAAGCTGGCAGGTGAGAAATGCTAAAATATGAAAATCCATTCATGGAACAAAGGTTATCTGTGTAAAACTACAAAAGGTGCCTTTATTATAATCTGTTGCAGTTAAATTTAATTTAAACTTAATTTGAGCTTCTGAAGGTATGAAGGACAGGAAGGATCAGCTGAAAGCTCACATTCACCCAAACACATTCAGATTATTTGCTTTTCTTCATGAAATTATTTCACATACTAAATGTTTTTTTTTTCAAACTGCAGAAGGTTTGAAAACAAAATGAACAAAATCTGCTCCAAAACGTGACATCTGGCAAAAAGCAGCACTGAAAAGGATTTTAACTGATCACATTAAACCTGAACATATTAACACGCATAACTAATAATGTTTTTATTCTTTATGGTGAGAAGATGAAAAAATCTTCCTTTCAGCAACATCTTGTTTATGTTTAAAACTGTTTTTCTGCTGGTTATTAATGCTTCAGTATAGAAAACTGTTGGATAATATTCAGATTTAAAAATACTTTATTGATCCCAAAGAGAAAATAAATGCTGTTATAACTCATATTAATTCAATTTTCCAGTAATATAATAATGAAAAACATATTCCTGATAAAGATCAATAAATGTTAAATTCTGAAGAACATTTAAGACTGGAAGACATTTTAAATATCCAAAATAAACAAAACAGAAACAATAAAAATAATTATGAATTCTCAGTAAACAAAACTATCCTTCAAAAAAAGGTTTAGATGAGACCAAAACCCGACTGAAAACTTTTTCCATCCAGTTTTGGTAGAAAGAGAAAAATGAAAAAATAAAATAAAATAAAAAAACTATGCATTTTATTATAAGTAGTTTATAATTATAAAAAGGGGGGAAATGAAACACAATCCTATAAAAACAAAAGCATCACACTGTGACCTCCAGCTGCCAGTAACACAAAGAAAAATATAGTTCTAATAGATGTGCTAGAGTGGCCTAGTCAAAGTCCAGACATCAGTCTGACCAAGAATCTGCAGTAAACCTTCAACCCAATGTGACGTTGCCTGCAGGGAGTGAATGCTGCGGCTCACCTCGGGGATCCATAAGGCACAGCTGACGTGGACCCACTTGGTTCCACTGCGCGTCGGCTTCAGGGCGCCGCCTCTCTTGGGGCAGAGCAGACATTTGGGCTGGACCCCCAGAGCGCAGGTCCGACACAGCCAGTTGCCCTGAGGCACCTTCAGGATGCCGTAACACGCCTGGCAGAGAGCGAGACGTTAGAAACATTTGGTACCGTACAGACCTGCTGCGCGGCGCTGGAGGGAAACGGACCATTCTTTACTTTAACATCCACAGCGGCGCTGCTGCAGTGCAACCGTCAACTAAACGAAACCCGAGGATGAAGCAGTTATCAGGTTAGTGCAGCAAAGGGAGAAATCACGCAGAAAAACCGTTAAATCAACTCTAAACCTGGATTCTTCTTTTCACATACGTTTTGTTTCCCGCAGACCGATGCGAACCGGTTCAGTCAAACTTAAGGATGTTTATTTAGCGGAGAAACAAAAGCAGATTTCGGTGAAGTCTCACCTGATGGACACAGACATTGCACTTGTCACAGAAGACCATCTCGTTTCCGTCTTCTCCCTCCGGCGAGCGGCACACGTCACACACCACGTCCTCGTCGTACTCGATGCCCAGGCCTTCCTCCGTCTCGATGGCCTGCTGCATCTTTTCCTCGCAGACGCGCTCCAGCTCCACCAGAATGCCCTCCATCGTCAGCTCGTCCAGCTCCGGTGAGGCTGGGGGCCGAAACCACGGGACCGTTAAAACGCTGGAAGACTTTATTCTGTTGGAAAATAAAGCTCATTCTGTTTTTATTCATATGTTAATATGTTTTTAATAGGATTCGATCACTTTCCCACAGTGATTCAAGGACCTTTCAAGCATTTTAAAGGTAAGTTTCAAACTTTTCCAGCCTCAAATGTTGGAGATGAAAACAAAAGACAGTTTTTAATATGATATCATTTATTATTAATAGTGGTTTGTGATGTTATTTTACATTCTACTACAGGAGGGACAAGGTCAACTAAAATATAACTAAACTTTGTTTCTCTACATCCAACTATCTGAGAACAAAACATTAATTTAACAAAAAAAATTATAATTTCAGTAACTTGCTTTAACGTATAAATTAGAAGCCAGCCTTTATTGCAATGTCACTGAGCCGTTACCTAGCAACCCTGCCCCGTTACCTAGCAACCCCAGCGAGCCCAGCCCCGTTACCTAGCAACCCCAGCTGGTTTCGTAAATATTCATTACATTAAAACGATGCAAATGGATCTTGTGAAAGTAAACGACCTTCCTGCTCAAATTAAACGCTTCAACATTAAATACAAACAACATTTTTCTAGAGTTTTCTGGCCAATCCGTTGGATTGGACTTTATTATCAAATTCAAGCATTTTCAAGGATTTCAAGCATCCGCTTTTTTGGGGGGATTAAAAAGGTGATTTCTGGTTTTTATAAAAAATATTTAGAGGATATTAACTAAGGATGTTCCTCTGGAGTCGGATTTATTCTTCCTTGATATCAATAAAATAACAGCAACTATAATTAAAATAAAAAAGGTCCAAACACCAGGTCTCGGAGGTGTCCGGCCTTCATTAATGTTTGGTTCTGACCGTCTCCAGGGCCAGCGATGTTGGTTTTGCTGCCCTGACCCTCGTCTGAAAGGTTGCTCCACTAATCTAAAAATAGACGCTGCTCTTCGTTTCAACAGCTTGTTAATGAGGTTTTCATCTCAGATGTCTGTCAGAGGGAAAGGCCTTTCCTTCCTAGAACAGTTGATCATGACTTTATAGCCTCACATTAGGATTCCTGTGATTTTCCTCTATTTGAGGACGGACAGCGAACCAGAACTGAAACTGGTTCAATGAGCAGCAGGAGTTTTAACTGCTAGAAGACAAAATCAACCCAGTCTGGTAACTTTTCTTTTCACTGGATTCCAAAGTTCATTTTAAAATTCTGATATGTGTTTTCCACCAGCGTGTGGCGCTAGCAGCTCCGCCCACCATTAGGAAAGGTTTCATTGTTAAATCAGTGACTGATGGTGCATTGATAATTGTTGTTGTCTTTTATGTCCATACTGTTCATCACTTTGATTAGTCAACTTGACTAAATACAGATAACATCTATAAAACAATGCAGTGATTATCAGTGACTTTGTTTCTCATTTATTCAGGGCATAAACTGAAACATTTTAATGCTGTTTCCCTCCTTCAGTCCGGTCGGCCCGGTTCTACTGGACCCAGAACTCCATCATCTGCTCCACCTCCAGCTGCTGTGGCTCTGAGTCAAACCAACCTGTTCCCCTCCTGGCCTGTGGGGGCGCTGCACCAAGAACCACCGGAGGAAAGGACACAACAACCTCTGAAGACACTGAGAGCAACTTCCTTCTTCACCAGATGGAAACAAGATGGAGGATTTTAGTGGTTGGAGGATTTCTCTTTAGGCTAAAGACCAGGAGCCATTTCTGCTGCTAGCGCTAGGCTAGCACGTTAGCTTTGGTTGTATTTACCCAGAATGCCCTACGCCAGGGGTGTCAAACTCCAGTCCTCTGCTGTCCTGCAGTGTTTAGATGTGCCACAGGTAAAAAACAGTGGAATGAAATGGCTTAATTACCTCCTCCCTGTGTAGATCGGTTCTCCTGAGCCTTGCTAATGACCTAATTATTCTTTTCAGGTGTGGTGCAGCAGAGGCACATCTAAAAGTTGCAGGACAGCGGCCCTTGAGGACTGGAGTTTGACACCCCTGAAATACAATTTTACAAAAATCTGCCTTCAAGAAAATGCTTAAAAATAAACAACATAAAAAG